TGTGTGTGTGTGTGTGTGTGTGGCGTGCATGTGTGTGCACGTGTGTGCGTGTAATATATGCGTGAGTGTGTGTGTGTGTATGTGTGTGTGTATGTGTGTGTGTGTGTGTGTATGTGTGTGTGTGTGTGTGTGTGTGTGTACGTGCATGAATATTGTTCGCACATGCATTTCTGTAAAGCGCCTAAAGCTGTGTTCACACGGGAGTGGGCTCTATTGAAGTGATCTACATTAATCTCACATTATAACGGTTGAATCAATGTCACCCATAATTCGCACAACAGTTGTATTAAGCTGTCTTAATTTAATCATCTTTTCCCACAACAATTCATGAGGATAGATTTAAAAAACTTCTTTTCATTAATTTATATAAAATACTACAAATCTCCTTCAAGCGGAAAATGGGATTGTTCACAGCACTTCTCGCTTATCACACACATTTTGTATATGCATATTATGGCGTACGTCACAGCTCACCTTTTTAATGGCAAAACTAGTTACAAGAAATTAATTCTATAGTAAACACTTTTGACACTGAAAGTTCTCAAAACAGGTGTTCAATAAATATAATCTCGCAATTAGAAAAAAACATGACGAACCTGCTTTTAAAAGCGATATCGACGAACCTGTAAACCTTTTAAAATCAGTAGACACCACCCACTAGGATTTTCTTTTAATATTTTATTAATTGAGAATTTTTTTAGATTAGAGCTAACAAGTGTTAACTGACTATTGACAAATTGATACAAGTCACTGTGCAAAAGCTGGAGAGTTTGTGTTCGATAGTTGAGGAGATATTTGACAATAAGTTGCGCTACGATTTTTTGACCACGCTATAGCCGACAATCTTTAAGGCTGCCGCACGAAACAAAAAAAGAATGGAAGTCCGAAGCTGGCAATAAAGGCTCTCGACTGACAGCCGATACCTTGGAAGGAAAATACCATAGGTCAAAAAAAGAGGTGTTCCGATTCCCACCCGGGTTGATTTAAGGGTTTGGTTTGTTTGGTTTTGTTTGGTTTGGTTTGTTTTGTTTTGTTTTGTTTTGTTTGTTTTACTTTTGGTTTGTTTTAACAGGCTTTGTTTTTTAAAATTGTGTTTTGTTGTGTTGTTGTTGTTATTGCAGTTGTTGTTGTAGTTGTTTATGCTCTTGTAGTTGTTGTTGTAGTTGTTGTAGTTGTTGTAGTTGTTGTAGTTGTTGTAGTTGTTGTAGTTGTTGTTGTAGTTGTTGTAGTTGTTGTAGTTGTTGTAGTTGTTGTTGTTGTTTTGTTTCGTTTTTGGCTCAGCTATCTGTCTCATTGAACTCTGAATCAAGGGGATTAAGATATGGCTACGTTCACCATCCACTTCTATCCTGCTGTAATTTTAAATTTGTTGTTGTTGTTGTTGTTGTTGTTGTTGTTGTTGTTTTTGTTCTGTCCTGCTGTAAGTTGATGTTGTGTTGTGAGGTAGGGTGGGGTGGGGTGGGGGGAGTGGTTGTAACTATTTGACTAGGGTCAGGGGAAGTGGAGCAGATGAGGTAGCAGTGGAAAATACTTTGGGCACTTAAAGCTACTGCCACAAAAATATCATCATCATCATCATCATCATCAACAACAACAACATAACAATATAACGAAAAGAACAAGAGCAACAACAACAACAACAACAACAACAACAACAATATAACAATATCAGCAGCAACAACAACAACAGTATAACAATAAGAATAATAACAACAATATAACAATATAACAACAACCACAACAACAACAACAACAGCAACATAACAATATAACAATAAGAACAAAAACAACCAAACTGAATAATCTCAGGGTGATGAAAAATATGACAATATGGTAAATTTACAAATGATGATGATGATGATGATGATAATGATGATGATGATGATGATGATGACGACGACGATAATGACAACGATGATAATAATGAAAACAACAATGATGATGATAATGAAAACAATGATGATGATGACAATGACGACGATGACAACGACACAACGACGACAATAATGACAACAACAACAACAACAACGACGACAACAACGAAGCACATCTTTGCCTACCTGTCGTTGGCAGGGTAGTAGAGCAGAGAGCTAAAGGACTTCCTCTCCTCGGCCGGCCGTCTCCCTCCAGGGATGGCCAGGTCTACGTGGGCGTTGTCTCGGCCACTGGTCAGCAGCGCCTCCACCTGGTCGTGGAGCTGGTCGTTGATGGTCTGTGCTCGCTGGACAAACTGGCC